ACAACCCCCATACTTACCAAATAAGGCAATAAAGCCAAACCAAGCCTCAACTCAAATAACATGAAAATGAAAATAAAGCATAATCACAAAGCAGGCAAGGGGTGAGAATGTGCCCCAACACGGTGTGAGATCTCTAAAAAGAAATCTCAGTAAGACAAGGGGTACTCAAGGATCTCTCCATCCCAAGCTCACATACATGTACAATATAAGTTCTAAAACAGTATAATTTCCAAAATTTGTGCAATGCAGCATATGTCCATGTCATGTGTGTAATAATTCTACTGGCCAGAGAATAAACATGTAGAAATTACATATGTCTACAACCTACAGTACAAGGAACACCGCTTGTACCTCACCCACAGAATCACCATCTTGTATGGCGCTACATACTCAGGCTTACCGTCTAGGTGGAATACCACATACATATCATAAGGCACTTGCACTTAACAGCTCAATAGCATTTCAACAATCATCATTTCATGAAAACACATTATGCATATAAACCATCCCTCCATGAGGTATGGTGGAACCAATAATGGGCAAAACCGAGGACACGAAAGCTTACCTCGCAAGCTAACAATCTAAGCCAAAGTCCACACTAGCCCAAGGTCCACAAACAGAACACTCACGGTCTGTTTATAACAGAAACATTATCAATATTCATACTCTAAAGGTTCATTTCGTTATGACAACATTTCCTTTTTCATTTAGTGCTCTTTAGGCTTCTCCCAAAACCATAAGTCCTTAATCTAAGTGATTCTGACTTAGTTCAATTATTACAGAGGTTCACATTAACCAATCATGGGTCCATAAACCCAATATACCATTATGTATGAACAGAACAGTACCCAACTCGAAATTCCCAGAATATCCGGATATTTCACGGGGCCATATGCGGATATCTCCAACCCCATATCCGGATATCATATCCAGATATTTCGTGACACAATGCAGTTCTGCATTTTCGCGAAGATATCGATTCAAGACTCAGTTTTTAACACTTATACACGTTAAGACATGCATCTTTAAGCCCATTTAGACCAGTGATTATGTTAGCTACTTAATCCTATCATTTTTCATGCCAAGACTTGATCTTTAACAAAGAAACTCTTGATCAAAGGTGAGTAACATACCCCAAAGGCTCAAAACAGAAACAATGGGTGCTCTTGGAGCTCTCTATGCAACTCCAAAGGTCAGACTACACAAGGCCACGGAAATGCACCCACAAGATTGATCCTTTCTCTCCAAAGATAGCTTCTTGGATCATCAAATGCCAAGAAAATGGCTCACACCTCCCAATACAGTGGAGTCAGCCCTCACACTCTCAACTCAGAGGCTGGACAACTCAAAAAAAGGCATTCTTCTCCCTCACAAAGCTAACCCACACCAAGCCATAGTGTTTTAATGAAGGAAATGTGAAGAAAGTTGATTACTTGGGCTTTCTCTTGAAGAAAAATGAAGGTGGCAAGGTGGAGAGCTCAATATCAGAAATGGAGGAACGTAGGTAGTGTATTTTTTTGACCTAGAAATCTGTGCACACCTATTTATATGCGTATTATGTTTAATCTCACTGATTAGCACTAATAGCTCCGCTTATCATTTTAATCTCAAACTTAAGATTCTGAACCTAGCCATTTTTCTAGGATTTGTCATATTTTTATTATAATTTTTGCAGCACTTCGCCGGTACGCATTTTTACATGGCCGGTATTAGTCCTGACATCAGTTCTCATTATTTTGACTTCAAACTTGCTATACAAGTCCTATATATTATTCTAGGAATATTCACAAACTTATTATAATTTTTCAGGATACTTCATCGGTACGCTCTTATACCGTGAAGCAGAACCGGTATCTGCACTTTTCGTAAGAAGAGCGACTTTCAACATTATTAATCACTTACTATAATTATTTAAGCCCTCTCGTAATTATTCAAGATCAATTATGGAATTTATCTCACAACTCATAATTAAATTAATTAAATTCCTAATATAACGGTGCAGGTTCTTACACTGATCGCGCCAAGAAGGAGGATAAATGGCCAAACTCACTGTCTTTTCACGCAGCTAGCGTGGATACCACGCTGATCGCGCCAATTGCAGATGTTCTTCACTGATTGCCCGCACTGATCGCGCGGAATTAACGCTTATCGCGCGGGCGTCGCGAGTGCATTTCCTGATTTTGTGGATTTTGCTAAAAACAGAAATTAAATCAAATCTCTCAGAAGATTATGACCTGATGGGGACTGTTGGATATAAAAAGGAAGCAGAAGCCCTAAAAGAGGGATCCTTTTAGCAAAAGAAATTACAAAACACAAAAATTAAGAGGAAGCTCTAAAGATTGAAGGTTGAACATTAACACTCAGAGAAGTTGAAGATTCAAGATTTCTTCTTCATCTTCTCTGTCTTTTTGTTTATTCTTTTATGAATTCTTTTTCCTTCTTTAATTTGTCAGAATGATTATATCTTGCTAGTCTTCATTTATTGTGGTAAGGGTCACAACCCTTAATGTGAACCCCTTGTAGTTTGTTTAAAATTATATTTAATTATTCCAATTGAGATTATTTTGTCTTGTTCTACATCTTATAATTCTTCTAGAACCGATCAATCTATTAGGATTGCGAGGGTTAGGGTTTCCAATAGGGATATTGGGATTCTAATTCCTAACAAAAGGTAAGATAATTGTTCATATATGCACTAGGGATAGGCTACATGAACCACAAACGTTAAAGATTCACTGATTCTAAGGCTTGACTTGAAAAGAGATTTCTAAGGGATTATGATTCTAATAGAGTTAATAAGGTTAAAGTCATTAAGGAATTAGGGATTAACCAATTAAATAAAAGATAGTGAATCGTTTGATCAATTGCAAAGTTAAATGTAAACGTTAATTCAGGTTACAAGGCGGGGAACATAAAGGTGTTTGTTTCTCTTTACTGCATTATTTTCTTAAATATTTTCTCAATCATTAATCTTTTGTTCTTGAGTTTAAAAAGAATCTTGGAAACTATTTTTACTTTCTTAATTTGTTCTTGTTTTTCACAAACAACAATTGTTCTTTAAACCAATTTTATCAATCCGACAAGAAACAAATAGTTATAATAAATTTGGTGCCTCAATCTTCGTGGAGACGACACTCTACTTATCACTTATTACTTGAAACGAACAGTACACTTGCCAATTTTGCAACAAGTTTTTGGCGTCATTGCCGGGGATTGAATACGCCAAAATTTATCAATAATTTTTGATTTTCTTGATTGGATTTTGTTTTGTTACTAATATGTTTGCTTTAGTTTATGCGAGGTAAAGTAGACCGATAAACTTTGCAGTTTGATCCAGAAATCGAGAAGACTGAAAAGAAGAACCGGAAGCTAGCCAAGCAAAGAAAACAAGAAGAGCCCTCGAATTCAAAGCCAAACACAGAACCAGAGATGGCAGCTCCAAATCCACCATCGGAAGGTGAATTGATGGAGTCAATCCTTGCTCCTCTCTTCACAAGGCCGAACTCTAGCATCGTCTGACCACGAATCGATGCCAACAATTATGACATTCATCTGTCACTAATAGGATTGGTGGAGTAAAATCCTTTTGGCGGGGAAGATTATGAAGATTCCCATGATTTCATAGACAGATTTCTAAGAATCTGTGATACAACCAAGCATCATGGGGTATCAGATAAGGCAATCAGACTATGGTTGTTTCCTTTTGCTATGACCGAGAAAACTCTCAGATGGTTGGATCGACAAGCCCCCAACAGTATCAGAACATGGGATGAGTTGGCGGCCAAATTCTTTGCTGAGCACTTTTCCATGGAAAAGTACAACAAGTTGGTAAATGAAATTACCAACTTCACTCAACAATCGGAGAGACTCTGTGTGCAGCCTGGACCACATTCCAAGAACTGATCGGAAAATGCCCTCAATACGATTTGCCAGACGGGAAGAAAGTCAGAATCTTCTACAATGGGATGACACCAGATTCCAGAATGGTTGTCGATGGTGCAGCTGGTGGAACCATATGAAAGAAAACAGCAGCTCAAACTTTAGAGCTGATTGACTACATGGCAAGGAATGAAAATGCATCTATGGCAATTCCACCAGTTCAACCAAAGAAATGACTTCTTCAATTGGGGAAAATGATGCGGCGTTAGCTGAGCAAAAAGTTATTTCTCAACAGCTCGCCAGTATGAATGCCAAGTTAGACAAGATGCAAGTTTCTACAACTCAAGTTAATTCAGTTAACTGTGAATATTGCAAAGGGGAGAACGAGACCAATGAGTGTCCAACACTTATTGGAGTTGAGCCGTTCCAAGTTAATGGAGTCTGGCACGATCCAATGCCATCACACAATTTCCAGAGGAATCATAATAGTGCTCAAGGAAGGAACTTTTAAAAGGAGAATTCAAGGGGAAGGTTTGGATTACAAATCCAATAATTACATACAACCTCAGCCTCTTCCACAAAAGGAGCCATCTGAATTGGAAAAAGCAATGCTGCAACTTTCGAAGACTACCAATGATCATATCCAGACTACTGATGCTTTTATGAATGAGACAAGAGCCTACCATAAGAACCAATATGCTTCCATCCGAAACTTGGAGAATCAGATAGGCCAATTGTCTAAGAAGCTAGCAGAAAGAACTCAGGGGCAGTTTTCGAGTGATACCATTGTGAATCCGAAGGAGCACTGCAAATCCATTATAACTAGGAGTAGTATTATGGTCACACCTCAAGAGAAACCCAAGGCGGTGAAGGAAAAGATCAATGAGGAACCAGAAAAAGAAGTGGAAGCTCTTGCAAGCATTGAAGAGCCAGAGCAAAAAGGTGAGGAAAAGGAGCAACCTGCTGGAACTCCGAAGAAGATGACTGATTATTCTCGTTTTGAGAAACCTCCTTACCCCGTGAAGCTCAAGCAATAGGCACAGAAGCAACAATATGCCAGGTTTTTAGATATGTTTAAAAAGTTGCATATTAATATTCCTTTTGCTGAGGCTTTACCAAACATGCCTAACTATGCTAAATTTATGAAAGATTTGTTGTCTAGAAAGCATATGTTACAGGATTGTGAGACAGTAGCACTTACTGAGGAGTGCAGTGCCATTATACAGAAAAAGTTCCCACAAAAGTTTCGAGATCCTGGGAGTTTCAACATCCCAATTGCGATAGGCAACACTAATGTTGGCCGGGTACTCTGTGATCTTGTAGCAAGCATCAACCTGATGTCACTATCGGTGTGTAAGTCATTAGGAATTACTGAATTGAAGCCAACTATGGTCTCTCTACAGCTTGCTGACCATTCCTTGAGAAGACCTAATGGAGTCATCGAGGATGTCCTTGTTAAAGTTGACAAGTTTATTTTTCCTGCCGATTTCTTTGTGTTGGACATGGAAGAGGAGAGTGCAATACCCTTTCTGTTGGGTAGACCGTTCTTGGCTACAGCTCGAGCTATGATTGATGTAGAACAACGAAAGATCGAATTGAGGATGAATGATGAGACAATCACTATCAATGTTTTTGATGCTATGAAGAATTCATCTGACCAAAGTGATTGTTTCAGACTTGATGTATTGGAAAAGGTGGTCAAGGAAGAGAACATTGATGATCAAGAAAGAAAATGACTTGATTGTTTCAGACTTGATGTTTTTGAGGTGCTAGAAAAGAAAGAAAATGACTTAGTTACAATAGTACCAAAAACAGAATTGAAAGAGTTACCTAAAACTCTTAAGTATGCCTTCTTGGGAGATGAAGAGCAATACCCTATCATCATCAATAAGGAGTTTTCTACGGATGAAGAGAAGAAGCTGTTGAAAGTACTAAGGAGCACAAGACAACTATTGGTTGGTCTATTTCTGATTTGAAGGGTATCAATCCTTTTTTCTGTACTCACAAGATTCTGATGGAAGACTATGTTAAACCTGTGAGACAGCCTCAGAGAAGACTAAACCCCACAATGAAGGAAGTAGTCCGCAAAGAAGTGGTGAAGCTCATGGATGCTAGAATGATTTATCCAATTTCTGACACTGCATGGGTAAGTCCAGTACAGACAGTTCCAAAGAAAGGAGGAGTTACTATTGTGAAAAATGAGCAGAATGAGTTAATCCCCACAAGAACTATCACTGGTTGGAGGATGTATGTGAACTACAGAAGACTGAACGATGCTACAAGAAATTAAGGATCATTTTCCCCTTTCTTTCATTGATCAGATGCTGAAAAAGTTAGCCGGACATGCCTTTTATTGTTTCTTGGATGGTTATTCCAGCTATAACCAAATCCCAGTAACACCAAAGGATTAGGAGAAGACAGCTTTCACATACCCATTTGGAGTTTTTGCCTACAGAAGGATGCCATTCGGCCTCTGCAACGCGCCTGCGACATTTCAAAGGTGTATGTTTTCTATTTTCTCTGATATGATAGAAAAATGTTTAGAGGTATTTAAGGATGATTTTTCTGTTTTTGGTTCTTTTTTTGATTCATGCTTAGTTAATTTAGCTAAAGTTTTGAAAAGATGTCTGGACACCAATTTGGTTTTAAACTGGGAAAAGTGCCAGTTTATGGTGTGAGATGGTATAGTGTTAGACCATAAAATCTCTGAAAAAGGAATTGAAGTTGATAAGGCTAAGTTAATGTTAATTGAAAAACTTTCCCCTCCTGTTAATGCTAATGGTGTGCGAAGTTTCTTAGGCCATGCAGGTTTTTATCGGAGATTCGTTAAGGATTTCTCAAAGATCGCAAAGCCTCTTAGCCAACTGTTAGTGAAGGAAAATGAGTTCCTTTTTTATGAAGCCTGCCTCAATGCATTCAATGTGCTAAAGGAAAAGCTTACCACAACGCTTGTTCTGACGGCTCTGGATTGGAGTCTCCCTTTTGAACTCATGTGTGATGCGAGCGCATATGCAATGGGTGTTGTACTTGGTCAGCGTAAGAATAAATTATTGCATGTTATTTACTATGCTAGCAGGGTTTTTAATGAGGCACAAGTCAATTATGCCACCACTGAAAAAGAGATGTTAGCAGTAGTTTATGCATTAGATAAGTTTAGGCCTTATTTGATAGGTTCTAAAGTAATCGTATTTACTGACCATGCTGCTCTTAAGTATTTGATGACCAAGCAGGATGCAAAGCCATGTTTGTTGCGTTGGATGCTCCTATTCTAGCAGTTTGACTTGGAAATCAGAGACAAAGCTATAGTGGAAAATAAAGTTGTCGATCACTTGTCTAGGATTCAAGATAAGGACTTGCAAGAAGGACCTAAAATATAGGTTAGTGAGTCCTTTCCTGATGAGCAAGTGATGCGGTTATTATGAGTCCATGGTTTGTGAACTTTGCAAACTACAAAGCTGTTGGATTAATGCCTGATGATCTTACTTGGCAGCAGAAAAAGAAATTCCTTCATGATACAAGGAAGTATCACTAGGATAACCCTTTTCTTTATTTTCAATGTGCTGATGGTGTTATTCGTAGGTGTGTTGTTGAATTTGAAGTGCCAGATCTTATGTGGCACTGCCATGCATCTGACTACGGAGGACATTTTGGAGCCAACAGGACTGCACAGAAGGTGTTGTAAAGTGGATATTATTGGCCCACAATCTTCAAGGATGCAAGAGAGTTCTTAGAGAAATGTGACAAGTGCCAGAGGACGGGAAACATATCCCGTAAAGATGAGATGCCCCTCAACTTTATATTAGAGGTGGAGCTGTTTGATGTTTTGGGAATTGACTTTATGGGACCCTTCCCTATGTCATATTCTAACCAATACATCTTGGTTGTTGTGGACTACATGTCCAAGTGGGTAGAAGCTGCCACTTTACCTACTAATGATGCAAAAGTGGTGGTGTCTTTCTAGCGGAAGAACATTTTCACTCGCTTTGCAGTTCCTCGTGCGATCATCAGTGATGGTGGCACTCACTTCTGCAATAAACAATTTGAAAGCTTGCTTACAAAGTATGGCATCACTCACAAGGTGGCTACCTGTTGGACGTTTAGCAAGTGCACTAGTCGTACAAGTAATAAAATGATGAGTAAAGATCGTTCCCACGAGGAATTGTGTTCAAGCACCAATAAACCATAGAAAACTGATTTGAATCAGATAAGAATTTGTAAAAGTCATGAATAATTTGTCACCAGAAAACTGATTGTAAGTAATTTTGACACAAAATAAATATGGATCAAGAATTAATAAAACAACAAGTAGTCAGAAAACAACTTTCCTTCATAATAACCCATGTAAAAACTGATCATATGATGAATTCTTTTCCATGTGATGTTAATCAACCTTTTACTTATCATCAAGATGTAATCCCTTACTACCCTGATAGATACATTAATCAGAAAACCCAATCCCTTGGTGATCTCTTTCTTAATACATGCATGAAATACTAAAGTCTTAAGATTACATCAGAACTCTAGCATCAATCCCTTGAGTACTAGAATTCTGATGTTGAGATTATCAGATACAGAAGTCATATAACATCCCTGTTCTACACTACTTCCTTGATAGAAATAATTAAATCAGAAAATCTCAAATCAACACATGAAAAATACTTCATCATATTAATCAAATCAACATAATATTATCATGGAGTTCTATTGCATTCAGACTACAAAGACTCTACTCAGACATGACTAAGGAATAGACAAGAGAAGAAGAATCAAACTTCATTTCCATGTTGAAAGTCTTCAATCTCCAAACTATTACAAAGAAATCCTAATACAAAAACTAAAACACTAAGAGAATTTAGAGAGAAGTCGGACTAAAGTTTAAGAGAGAGAGATAAAATATCAGAGAGCTCACTAAGTGTGAAGGCTTTGCCTTTTATAGTGTTACAATTAAAAACAGAAAACTGATGTGGGCGCTACAACGTCCATAAGTGACCGTTTTAGCGTCCATGCTTTACGTATGCTCAACTGCTTTTAACTGACTGCAACGCTAAAACTCTTGATTTGGACGTTTTAGCGGTGGAGACCAGAGTCCTTTTTCCACTTCAGGGCGCTAAAACTCTTATTGCAGGCCGTTTTAGCGCCCACGACCAGCAATTTTCCATCTTCTAAGTGCAGCAGCGCGCTAAAACGCTCTGTGTGGGCGTTTTAGCGCTCATCACCAGCAAGTTTTGGCCTCTTCCTGTAGCAGGGCGCTAAAACGCTCAGTGTGGACGTTTTAGCGCTCAACACTTAGGCAATTTTTCTCCTCTTGAGCTCCAAAATCTTCTTCCTTCTCCAGTTGCCTTTCAAGCTTGCTTTTCCTACAAGAATCATACAAATTTCCAATAAAGCTCTTGAACTTGTAATTGAGGACATCTTAGGACATTAACCTTGTTTTTCATCATTTAATCACACAATTTGATCCTAATTCCTGCTAAAAACCATGATGAACTAAAGGTTCATCACTACCCCATACCATCCTCAGACCAGTGGACAAGTAGAAATTTCAAATAGAGAGCTGAAGAGGATTTTAAGGGTAGGCAATTCAAGGAAAGATAGGGCAAAGAAACTTGATGATGCACTCTAGGCATACAGGACCGCTTTCAAAACACCAATAGGTATGTCACCATTCCAACTGGTGTAAGGTAAGTTTTGTCATCTTCCTGTAGAATTATAACATAAAGCTTTGTGGGCTACTAAATTTTTGAATTTTGAACCATCAAAAGCTAATGATAAAAGATTACTGCAATTAAATGAGCTGGATGAGTTCAGGTTGGCGGCCTATGAGAATGCCAGGATTTACAAAGAGAAGACAAAGAAGTGGCATGACAAGAAAATCCAACCAAAAGAGTTTGAGCCAGGACAACAGGTATTACTATACAACTCTCGACTGAGGTTGTTTCCATGTAAGCTCAAGTCTCGTTGGACTTGTCCTTTTGTTATTAGGAAGATATTTCCATATGGTACAATTGAGATTTCCCCTCTCAATACTGAAAGACCTTTCAAGGTCAATGGGTGTAGATTGAAATTATACCATGGAGGACAAGTAAATATGGACACAATTTCTGTCCCTTTGGCTTCACCTGAAGCTTAAATTATTCTCGTCAGGCTCGTGACGTTAAATGAGCGCTTCTTAGGAGGAAACCCAAGATTGAGTTAGTAATTTTAATTTTTAGAGTCGTAGAGTTATAAGATAAATGGTGCAATTTCATATTAAAGTCACCGCGCGAATAGCGCTAATTTGGCGGTAACTGAGTCACCTAAAAAGTCCATTCCACTTCTTCACTGCCAATTCGCGCTAATAGAGTGAATGGGGTGCTAACCGCGTGGACATGGTGCCAATAGCGTCAATATGTCCGGAACTTACTTCCTATCCATGCAAGTAGCGTCAATTTGGCGCGATCAGCGTGGATTGAATAAGCTTGGCCAAACGCGTGGGACTGACGCAAACTGCATGGATTCCTTGTACATCTCACTGTTTAGTCGCGCGATTCGCGTGGTAGTGGTGCAAATTACGCCGACGATTTCTAAAATAACCCTACCTCCCACCTTCAAGATAAACCCCCAACCCACGCCCCATTTTCCCTCATTCCCCATTATCCTTTCCTATTCCCCCCCCCCCCCCCGGGCACTTTTTCCTCTACCTTTTTCCATGCCTCAATCACCTCTCCATATCCTCGTTACTTCCTTCCCTCACTAT